TAATTTTGATTTTATATAATTTATTATATATTATATATTAAATTTTGTAAAATCTCGATTTTACTGATTCGATTTTACGATTCCAATTTCACCTAGTCAAAACGATTTTAAGTAAAATCTCGATTTTGACAACCTTGCTTACAACCAACATTTTACATTTTATCCTTATTTCCAGAAGCACATGGATGATGAACTGAAAAATAGAACAATAGCATCACATCTACACTAAGGGTATGCATCAGAAGACTGCTACCTACTAAATGGAGAAGGCGGCGTCATTACCGACTTCCCGACGTGGCAGCAGGAAGAGATTGAACAGCAGCAAGAGGGTTTACTTGGTATGAAAATGCAAGTTGCCACAAGTCCACCATAGCCTTCTTAATGGCTAAAACTTGTCTCCTTACAATCCTGAAACAATCGAGAAGACCAGTTGCTGATAAATTTAACAAATGAATAAAAGAACAGCGCTAGCTAGTTGAACTTAAGCTTCAAGGATGATATGAATGAATAAAAGAAAAATAAGAATCAGTCTTACCTCTGCAAGGAAGCCCTTTTCCTGTGGAGAACATAATATATAAGAAAGATCAAAAAGCCAAGGAAAATTCTTCCACCAGATATAACCAACCGGACATTGCCAAACTTAAAACTGATATTACGGAAAAACCATAGACATGCATTTGCTCGACTAGTGAGTTTCAAAATTGCTTGTTTTGAATTACTCTCCCCATTAAGTTGGTAGCCTTTCTTCAATGCTTTTGATGATCCCTCCAATAAAGTTGCTTTGGGCAATCGAGAAGAATCAGCTGCATTTTTGACCTCCAGCAAATGTGAAGAAGAATCTTGTGACATATTAGTCACGTTTGAGGAACATAGGGAGTGTAATCTTCTCAAAAGCCCCTAGAATAAGTAATGAAAGAACAGTAAGACAACAAAACAACTTTCTCTTCCACTAGGAAAATAAAAAGACTACTTGATTCCAATCCAATAAAGAAGATCCAATGAAAGGAAGGTTAGTAAATATAATCATTCATCACAATTTTGCATAAATTTTGATTATCATTGGAAATTATAAATTTGCATTCCCACTTGAAGGAATGAAATTAACTTCCAAGGAGGAGAAGAAAACAAAGAGGAAGGTTAGTAAAGAAAGAACATCGTTACAGTTATAAGATCAATGAATTTTAAATATTCTCTGGGGAAAGAAAAAGTCGGCAGAAATCAACTGAAAGTATGAGTTGATATCAAATAGCTAATGAGAAAAGCAGTTATATATGAAGTCACCAACTTTTCCAATTCATGCAAAATCTAAATTTTGTCATTTGAAATATTAACTCAAGATTAACATAACACATTAAATTTGCAGTGAACGTTCACAATTGATCATGAACTATTATTCATCTCAAGCCTAGTATATTTGCTCAAGTTCACAAAGTAAATGATAAGCAAGAATCTCCTAGAAAGGCCAGCAATTAACCCCAAGTCCATAGCTCATTTGTTAGAATGAGCTCAAGAAAATAGGCAATATAGCTTCAGTATCATATACTAGAAAAGGAGAAATTCGTCTATGTACCCATGAATTAGCATCAATATGTACAACAAAAAAAGTTGAATAGAATACTTAAAAGAACATATTTATGCATAACATGGTAGACTGAATCAATCAATCAGTGGTTGACACACAAAAACAACGCTAAAGAGATATATGTTACCTGACGTTTTTCTTCAGGCAAAGCAGCTTTCTCAACCCAAGAGATTGCAAGCTCCACATCGTTGGAAACCTTAGCAAGAAGTGTGACAGCATACAGCTCAACAACTTCCATATACTTACCAATTCCCATGACAAAATGACTATCACACCCTTCCTCGAAATCCAAAGCTCCTTCTGCACCAATAAGAACAAAGTATATTTCATCCAAATTCCTCCACTTGCACAGGAACTCCTCAAGAAATTCCCTGACACCTAAAGTTGAACCTTCCGATATTTGGAAACACACCCTGAAAAAAAAAAAGTATGAATGAAAATTGGCACCATCCTCCCCATTGTATTCTAATTTTCTCTCCTGGGGCTTTTTTTAATACTCAGCACCAGTGGAGATCTCAATTTAATGTTGCATTGATGTCGGAATACGACATGGAAAGTAACAGGAACAGAGAAAAGAATACCCAGTCAGAAGAACTTGAACAGGAATGGCTTCAACAGAAACAAACACTGCTCTGAGCTCATCCACAATCCTAGAAGTCCTGCACAAAATCATAACCACAATGAAAACTGAATTAACAAAACAATTAACCTCGACCCTTTATAACAATTCCATCCATAATTCATCACAAACCATTTCCTTCTGGTTTCCTTTCGATTTATCAAAAGAAATATAGAAGGGGCAGCACCTTTGAAGTTCCTTCAA